CTCTGATCTCCCTCTGTTCGTCGCCCTCCTCCTTTTTTTACCATATAAAAGATTTTTTTTCCTTCGACCTCACGGCGAATTAGAAATTATTTACTCCCGATTAGGCCGGGAATCGAATGGCTGATGGATCGACGATTCCTGGATATATCTTGGCCGCGTGCGGGAGATATTTGCGCGAGTGCACGCGATCTCGGCCGATATATCCGACGTATATCCGATGTGTATACTGGATGTATATCCGACGTACATCCGACACCCCATAAGAAGTCGCCGAGCCAAGGCAGGGGCGGCGAGCCGGCGTGCGGGCGCCCCGTGCCTTTGTCGCACCCGCAAGGTCCACGGAGCCCCATAGTACGAGTACATGTAGATATACACCTGGCAATCTCTCGCAGTTAATTACTTCCTATCGTATTTTTTTTTTTTTTATCGTATCTAGTAGTCGTTAATAAATAGGTCGACGCCGATCCGGGACCGGGCCAAGGCCCGCTCCGGAATAAGAGCGACCGGGCGTCGCCGCCGCCGCCGCGGTTGATAACGAGTCCCTATATCCCAGGTCCTGGACCTTCCTGTTATCCCTCGCCCTGCTCCAGGATCCTGCGGCCAAGTCGCTCCAGGTTGGGCGCGGGAATTGGCCGGGTTTAAAATTGATAAAAAGCCGAGGTCACCTGCGATGGCGATCCAAGATGGCGGTCTGCGGCTGTAGGGTCTAGAGATCGGCTCTTATCAGCGCGGGTGGCGTTCGTTGCAGCGTGAATACGGCGCGATAAGAGGTCTTCTTCCTTCTTGATAACGAAATTCGACCTCCTCGGGGCTTTCTCTCTCTTCTCGCCGCGATTTTTCAGTCTCGAGCCCGCGGCAGCGGCGTCGGCTCCCGATTAATATTCTCAACTCTCACTCTCTCTTTCTCTCCTTCTCTCTTCCCCCCTCTCTCTTTCTCTCTCTCACTCTCTCTCACTCTCTCTCTCACCCCCCATCTCTCTCTTTCTCTCTTTCTCTCACTCTCTCTCACTCTCTCTTTCTCACCCCCCCTCTCTCTCTCGGTTTCTCTTAATCACTCCACGTCTGTGCACACCATATCACTCATTCATTGTTGATTTAGGAACAGCTAGTAGCGAGGTTCGGTTACTCTATCACGCAATCTGCCCTCTTTCGAGCTTTCGATACGCACAAAACTCCACTCCGCGTACACGCGCACGTACGTATAATCGATTATTGGTAAAATTCCATAATACAATATGTATAAGATCGGCGCCTCCGCGCTCGACCCTGCGTCGCGACGCCCCAGATCCGCCCTCTCGGGTAAAAAGAATGCGCAACGGAGGAAGAAAGAAAAAAAGAAAAAAAAAAAAAAAACTAGGATCCACCCTAACCTCGGGAAAGGGAAATCCCGAAATTCACCTCGACGCCTCCTTACCCACCGCTCGTCACGTGTAGTTAGATTTCGGAGCAACGAGGGTCGCAATACACCTGGCGACAGTTAACATCACGGCGAGATAACCTCCCGATTAACCGCGGTCGAAATACGGCGACGTCTCGCAAGTTAAATTCGCGCCGTCCGATCTGGGGTTGGTAGCCGCCCGATTCCCGGACACCGGTGTCTCCAGTAATCCTGCGTCGCGACGCTGGGCCCGACCGGCACCGCGCAGCGCCTCGATCCTGCTTCCTCAACAAACGACATACTATAAAAAGGTCTACATCAATGACAATGGCAATGACAATAATAACTGATAATAGCAATAACTAATAATCCCTATAATGAATCAATAGCAATAATAGCAGCGGCTCGTAAACAAAATAGAGAACGCCGAGAAGAACCTCTTCCTCCCTCTCTCGCCCCCTCTCTCTCTGTCTCTCTCTCCTCCGCGATTACGCTCTAATTAGGTAATACGTTATTAATAGTGAATAATTAATTCAGCCGTAAGACCGTCACACGTTAATTGCCCTTTTTGCGAGGTATGGGTTACGTAGAAGAGGGGGCCGGCGGGGGAGAAGAGGGGGGTGGAGACCCGGAGAGAAGCGAAGGGAGAGGCCGAGGGAGCATGAGAGAGAGAGAGAGAGAGAGTGAGAGAGAGGGAATTAGACAGAGAGAGAGAGAGAGAGTGAGTGAAAACGAGAGAGAGAGAGAGAGAAACGACGGGGAGACATGTATAGAGCGAGGGAGAGAGAAAGAGAGAGAGAGAGACTCTTGGCAAGGTTTCTCTCCTTTTCTTCCGGCGAATCCCTTCGTCAACGGAAAAAAGCTCAAGAGCGACGTCGAAAGGACGTCGAATAGACGTCGGAAAGACGTCGACGCCAGAGGCCGCCGAAACGCAATTCTTTACACGGTTAATAAAACACACGAGCACATGTACAGTGTAAATATAATATAATATGTATATATATCTATGTGTATATATATGTATGTATGTATATATATACCTTTGTGTTATTTATATATATAGCGACGTCGCTCCCCGCCCACCGGCGAGCCACCTCAAATGTAATAATTGTAATAGTTCGTCACCAACGTGTCATACATATACATATATAGAAAAGCATTTTTTCTGACAGGAACCTCGAGTTGCCTTAGCTTAGAAGTACTTATTACTTGATTCTCCCGACCCCCCCTCTCTCTCTCTGTCTCTCTCTCTCTCTCTTTCTTTCCTTCTTTCTCTCCCTGTCTCTCTCTCTCTCTCTCACTCCCTCTCTCTTTCTCTCCGCATCTCTCCAGGAACAGCGTCCCGCTCTCTCCCTCGGTTTCCCAGCGAAATCGTAAATATAATATTTAACAAATCTCGAAACCTCACCTCGTCTCTCTCTCTCTCTCCCTCCCTCTCTCTCCCCCTCTGCGCATGCGCGTGTATCCACTTCCGGCCAGTACTCGCGCCGCTCCGGATATTACCCGCGCGAGGATCCTACTTCGATACAACATCGTGTATATGTATATANGGGGGGGGGGGCAGGCAGGCAGGCGACCACATCGATTCCACGGATTCCCTTTCTCGGGTTTTTGTCTCGGGGTGCGCGACGACACATTCAAATAAGTGCTCCCCCGTCTCCTTGCCCCGGGGGCGACCTGCCCCCGCGGGCCGGGGGAGGGAGAGGGGTCGCGACGAGATTAAAAGAAGAATCAATAGCGCCCCCGTCCTCGCCCCCCCAACCCCCCAACCCCCCCGGGCGTCGCGGGGACCTCAAAGGCTCGCTATATATTGAAATGCGCTAAGAGGACTCCCTCGACCTTCCGCCGATCTAGCGCCCCGCCACCTCCTGGGGGTTGGGGTAACTGGAGGGGGGGGCACCCCCGCTCGTCCTGGACAAACATCTCGCGAGGGAGGGAGGGGGATTTGCGATCCTCTCTCGCACTCACTCTTCCCATACTTCTCGGTCTCCTCTTGGGGGATGCTGGGGCGCTCTCGCCCCCGAGCCCCCAACTTCCCTCCACCTCCCCGTCCCCTCCACCCCACGCGACGGCGCGCAATCGCCGACCTCTCCTGCATAGCGGCGCGCTCGGATAAGGAGCTTTCGCGAATTATTTCGCCGGACGAGAAATGGTTGCCGAGATTTCCCCGAGCCGGGATACACCTCCCCCTGGGGGGGTGGGAGGAGAAAGACGGGAGGCGAACCCTCCCGGGGATGCAAACGATCTCCCGGGCGGAAATAATGGGGGGCGGTGTGTGTATCGGGGACTCTCCGGGAAGGGGGAGCGATGGGGCTCCTCCGACTCCCCCTCCCCCCGGGGGTATCAAGGAAATCTCACCCCCCCCCGCAGGATCTCTCTAGTTATCGCTCTTCCTATATACTTGTATACATATATACGTATATATTGGTAATGGGACATTTTCTCAGGGGGGGGCAGACTTGGATTTAAAAGTGGACCATTAGGGGCGCGGGGGTGAGGGGGGCGAGGGAGGGGGGGAAAATCCATCGGTTTTTGGAGAGGGAACGGCACGATCCGGCCGGGTCAACGTCGGCGCGAGAAATGTATTAAAGGCAAACACATGCATGCTAAGTAAGGCGGGGGAGGTCCCCCCCCCAGTACATACGTCTTACGTGTACATACTGCACATACCTTCTCATACGTCTCCGCATGCATTACACGCGACTCATACTTGGGAATCGCTCTGCGCGGATGCCACCCCCTTGCCCCCGCTTTTATATATGTGAATGTATATAGGCATAGGTGTGGACATGTGTGCGCGGAGGAATTTACATACACGTGGAGGTGATCTAACGTGTGCGCGTGCGTACCTTATTTCGCGAGATGCGGAAGCACCTGTGTGCTGTCGGCATCCGCGGCCACCACCTACGGAGCGCCCGGGTGGACAATTCCGGCACTGCGACAACGCGTCCGGAATCCCCCCCCNTAGACTTCTTTCTATTTTATTAAATATAGGAACCATGTTGCTGGGATTCGCCTTGCGATTCGCCTTCCTCTCCCTTGAGTTTCTCTTGTTCTTTCCCTCTCTCTCTCTCTCTCTGTCATTCTGGTTGTGTCTCCCTCTTGCCCCTTCTCTCGGTCTCTCTATATCTAGACACGGCTTGGGCGCGCTTTTTTTAGACACGAACTGCGCCCAGTAGTCCATTCCCACCCAGCTCTGGGAACGTCGCCGCCCACCCCGCCCATGATTTCCGCCCGGGCGGGAATCCGGGGGAAAAATCGAGGGCCCGCCGATCCGCCCGGGCGGGGTCCGGGTCCGTCGCGAATTATCCGCCCGGGGATTCCCTAGGGGGCGCGGAGCCTCCTGGCCGGGCGTAAAAAACTGGGGAACGAGACGCGAAAACGGAGGAAAAATGAGCCGCCCTGGGCGCCACTCGACGCCCGGGCGGCGCGGCGCCGGCCGCCCGGTGGCCGGTCGGCGATCTCTATCGATTTAGTAACTTTTATTAATTATTACTTTACATAGGAACGTTTGTCAGCCCGCCTCGACTCGAGGTCGTGGCGCCGATCGAGTCTCTCGGCTACCTTCCTCTCCCCTCTCTCTCTCTCTCTCTCTCTCTCTCTTTCTCTCTCTTTCCGCCTCTCCCTCTTTCTCTTCGTTAGTCCGATCATAGGAATCCGTGGTTTACCATCGATATATCAGGAACTTTTGGGTGCGTTCAACGCGTCGCTCGGTACATCGTTACAAAAATAACAGACAATGGCAATAGCGGTAGGATGAGTAGGGTGTGATAGAGGTTAAAAGTGGGCCCGGGCCCCAGAAGCCTCGAGGGCCCCCACCTGCCACCCTCCGAGCTCGGCCCCCCTCTTAAGGCCCAGCGGGCCCCTCTCCGGGGCCTCATCCCGACTGGGGTCCCGATTCTGGGATTAGCGCGCCCCCGCGAGGGCTGCGACCTCCTGCACCAGCTTCTGCCGTCTGGAATCGGGCCCGTTGCTTTCCTGGCCCGGGCCGTGCTGGGCCTGAGTAAGGCCCACCGATTGACCGAGGCCCACTGCCTGTGTGGTACTTTCGGCCGCCGCCCTGGCTGCCAGCAGGGTGATCTGGTTGACGACGTCCTCCATCTCGTCGGTCAGGGGATTGGCCTCTTCGGGCACGGCCTGGGCCTGGTGGGGCCCCGGGTCGGGCCCTGGTCGGTGGGCCTCCTGTCGGGCCTTGTGCTGCGCCCCCTCGCAGTGGCGCCGCCACTCGGCCACCGAGGCGAAGCTTCGTTCGTCGCAGAGCGCGCAGGCGAAGCGCACCTGCACCAGTCTCAGGGCTCCCCTGCGCTGCTGGTTCCCCAGGTAGCAGCTTCGCTGGTGCCCCAGCAGGCTCGCCTCCTGCGGATAGGCGCGGCCGCACCTGCGGCACACCAGGCACAGCTCGGACTCCAGCTCGCGGCAGTGGGCCGGGAGCGTAAGGCCCTCATCGGGCCCCGGGAGGCGCACCGTCTCCAGCCCAGGGTGGTTTGGGTCCTGCTGCAGGAACGCCTGCATCAGGGCGCGCGGAACCTGCACCTGCGAGCCGCCCTCCACCTGCAGCGACATCGTCGCGCCCGCGCTCCTGGGCCCGCTCAGGCCCGCAGCCGCTACTGAAACAGAACCACGGGAGGAACCCCTTTAGTCTGGATGAGGCCCAATTGGGACGTGGGAAGATCGTCAAGGGTGCTTTCAAACTACCCCCGTAATCCTCAGGCGCTACTGGGATAGAATCACGGAAGGAGTTCCTTCGGACCTGGATAAGGCCCAATGTGGACTTGAAAAGACCGCCATAGGTTCCCCGCGCGTCTCATGGGCCTTTGGGCCTTATGGGCCCCACAGTGAGGCCCCTCAGCAATTGATTCGTACCGAGTCAGTTGTCACAGGCGTTAACCAGCCGCGGAATTTATGTGGAACCTGTTTTTTCCCGGGGCCCGGCAAATCGTTAGTTATTAGCCGGGCCCGCCGGGGAGGGCCCGGCGCCCCCGAGGCGTGAAATTTAATTATGAAAATAAGGGAATTTCGGGCCTGGCTCCGGGGCGGTTCTTTACGGCTCGATCCGCGCGCGTTTACGTCGCGGAATCGGCCGGTATTTACCGACCGGGGAATTTACAGCGCGAGCCGGACGGCCGATCGAGGGGGCCGTAAGGCCCAAAGCCGGTTGGCCGGGGACCCGCCAGGGCGATCCCTGGTCCAGCTGGCCCCGATCTCGGAATCGCTTTCCGAGCCCAGGTTGACAGGTTTACGTAGTGTGGGCCCCTTTACGCTGGGCCCTATGCGGGGCCCATTCGAGGCCTGGACCAGATGAGAGTCGTTACCGGGCAGGAAGTGTTAATGATACCCCTGCTCATTCACTGGACACTCTCCTGTAATTATCTAACGAGATGGAGGAGGATGTAACTCCGCGGGGCCTTATCCTATATCTCTTCCAGGTCGCATTGATAATCATTAAGGAAGAGGAAGACTCGCGAACTAGTTATCACGGTGCGGGATTACGTCTTATCGGCTGCGGATAGGACCCGAATTCGTGGGCCCCCCCTCCTTCCGCTATGGTACGACACCCTTGAAACAATCGGCCGACTCAAAGGGGGACTTATTACTCTTAATGAGGCCTGGTTATTCCTTTGAGTGGCTTTGATTCGCCTCTCGACGAGACCCGGCCGCCCGTTTACACGAGACGAGAGCGAGAGATCTCGCGCCCAGCCTCCGAGGGCATCTTAGAGCGAAGGCGGAGAGGAGCTCATTTGCGTACGGATTGAGATAGTAGTGCTTCGGTGCCCTCCGAGATGTGTGTTTTTGTTTAAATGTGTGACCGCGTACGAGATCCTGATTGCCGGCCGCTCCCAGCTCCAGCGGTTCTCAGAGCGGGCCCAAGGTATTAGAAGTGGGACCTATGGGATGGTCCAGATGACGCGGACGATTTAGAAAAAGGCCCAAACTCGTGATAACACCAAGCGGAAGGGGGTTCGATCATTTGGAAGGAACGAAGAAGTACATTCGGGAGATTGGCCCAATCCGGGGCCCTATGGGCGTTTCGGGGCCCACTTGGGGCGAGGTCGGCGGATGGCATTAGCGAAATTGGGCCTGATTTTGCGAAAGAGGATTGGCAAGGCCGATACTCGAGACGAGGTCAAGATGAGAGCCGCTGGCCCGAAGATAGCCGCGACACATGCTGGAAATTTGTTCCCCGGGAATTTACGAGCGAGTTTCCGTGTCGGGCCCAATACCGCGGGGCCCGGTAAGTGGACGTCCGTCCTTATATTCCGCGCGTAAACCGCGCCGGGCCCACGGGGGAAATTAATCGACGGATCGACGTCTCCTTTCCAGGCGTTCCCGGATCGAAACTGGGCCCTAAGGCCCCGGGGCCCGACCCCGGTCTAAACGCTGCGACATCGAGCTTTCTACATTTTTTGCTTCCTTCTTTTCCTTCCTCTTTTATTTATTTCCGTTCGCGCAGTTTACTCCTGCGCCTCGTTTTGGGCCCGTCGCGATAAAGCGGGAAATAAGGCTCGGAAAGTGGACCCATCGTGAGGCCTCGCGTGGTCGGGCCCCGTGTCAATGTCTCGGCCGCATCGACATTGCGATACATAACTGCATGGCCGCATAGCTGCATAGCTGCAAAGGCCGGGTATGCAACGTTGCATACCACGTCGCGCGACACGTCGGATAGTCGTTCTCACGTGGGCAAGGGGCGCACACGAAGGTAGGAAAGACGTTACGAGCGTGGGCGTGCATTCCTGCCTTCGCATTATCTCTTCCCACCTTCCCTCTCTCTCGGTCGGGCCCCTCGGCCGGGGCCCGTCTCGCTCTCCGGCCGCCCCACCCCGCGCCCCGCGGGGCCCGCCGAGGGGCCTTTTTACTCGCGGCCGGGTTTTATCGGGCCCCGGCCGGAACGGCTGTTTCACACCTCCGCTCGCCCGGGAATTAGGAAATAAATTAGCGCGGGACTAATTTCGTTATCTCGGGCCCACGTAGGAACACCTTGGGACGGATGTCCACGGGGCCCGTGAACCGGGCGAGGGTCTTTCGAAAGCCCCCGGGAATCCGGCGCGTAAGGCCCCGGTTAAGGCCCCGGGCCTTGGGCCCGATTAGCGCCGAGGAGTAATTATCATTCGGGGCCCGATCAACATTTTTAGCCTGGAGTCTTTGGCTCGCTTCAAGGAATCTTTGAAACCGAGATTTCTCTCGGCGAGGCTTTGATTAAGGCCCAGGATATTGGGCCTGATTAACGCCGTGGAGTAATTATCATTCGGGGCCCGATCAACATTTTTAGCCCGGAATCATTGGGTCCCTCCAGGGAATTTTTAAAACCGAGATTTCTCTCGGCGAGGCTTTGATTAAGGCCCAGGATTTTGGGCCTGATTAACGCCGTGGAGTAATTATCATTCGGGGCCCTATCAACATTTTTAACCTGGAGTCTTTGGGTCCCTCCAGGGAATCTTTGAAACCGAGATTTCTCTCGGCGAGGCTTTGAGTAAGGCCCAGGATTTTGGGCCTGATTAACGCCGAGGAGTAATTCACACTCGGGGTCCGATGGGACTGGAATTTTTCGTCTGGTGGTTTCTGGCCGTTCTTTCGGGGGATTTTTCGAATTGAGATTTCGGAGTTGGTTCGGTGGGACCGGAAGATGATCGGGGACCTAGGGAATATTCTCCCTGGATTGACCGAGAGAAGTCGGAGGCTCTTCACTCGCCGTATCACCGGGTGCCAGGCAGGAAGGCCCGTATTATCGGGCCAATTGTCTCACCCCCACCGGCTTGCGGTTCAGCTGACTATAAAATCATTATCACCCCCTCCCCGCCCTTAAGGCCCGATTATCCCATTAATACGCCGTTGTCCGGCCGGCGGCTCGCCGGCGCGTCCGTCGGATCTTTAATTATTTAAATGCCCTCCACCCGGGGGGAGCGACCGGCTCGCGGACGTCTCGGGACCGGCACATAACCGACACGGGAACGACTGGTGACCGACTCGAGAACGACTTTAACCCCAAAGCCTCCTCTCCTAAATTCCCCCAATTTTTCTGGACTTTTCATCGGGGCCCCAGGAAGTGAGGGTTGCTCTTAGGGATTCCACCCGGTACTCGCCCAAGTCCCTAGGGTGGGTTCGATCTCTCTTCGCTCCCGATCTGCGTAACGAGGTCGACCCAACCTCGACCTGAAGGAATCAGCGACTCTCTTTTTCCTAACGATGTGCCAACAGAAGACAGGCCGAAGATAAAGACGTAAGCAGATAAGTCGCAGGGGGGAACCCGACCCGAGGGGCGCAGCATCCTTCCCTCAGGATCTCTCTCCAGGAGAAAAGGGGTTTCATCCCCCTTAATTATCCGGCTGACAATTATTTTTAACGACTCCGCGATATCTTAACGAGCCCTAACCCGTGGCAACGGGGTCGAAGGACCTCCGGGGTGGCTCTTGCCCCTCCGCCAGGGCAGGACACCCCATCGGGGTGGCAACCCCCCACGCTAATTCCCGGCCTCGGTCGAGCGCGAAAAGGGCAGTTTCTCCCCTTTTTCCCTTTTTTCCCGGGAAACTTGATTCGATTAGTCGCGGATTTCGCCCTTTCTCCCACCCCTTCGAAAGCCGCGATATTAAAACCATCCCGAAGGACTCCTCGGGCGCTTCTTCGGGCCCCGAAGCCCTGAAGAGGGCACTCCTCGTATTGTTCGCCCCTGGGCTTCTAATTAGAAAATTCTCGGCGAGCCCTCTCTTCGCTGGCTTCTTATAAATATTTCCTTTCTTCCTTTCTTTCCCTCCCCCCGATCCTTGTTTGCTCGGCTCTTTTATTCCGGGGCGTAACGAGGGCTCGCGCACCGCGAGGGTGGCTCCGTAATTATTATTCAAATATTTTTCTTTGCCCAAGTTCGCCGCATTAATATTTACGACGCGCCTCGGAGAAGGTCCTCCCTTAAGCCACCCCCCCGAATTCTCTCAATTGCCCGCGGCTTTGGAGAGAAATTCTAAAAATGTCCAACATCCACCTTTGTTAATGAGTTATCCCGCGAGTTTGCGGATAATTTTTATTTATCTTTTTTTTGTCGCGGTTAACTTTCTTTCGGAGCTAATTAAATGTTTCACTATTTCGCGATATACTAGATGTGGTACGTTTCAAGAAATACATTTCGGACGCGAGAAGTACATTTTTCAGCCCTTACTTTGAATTTAAACCGACATAGAAAATCCCAATTCACGTTTCAGGTGTCCTGTTTAACCCTTTAAGGGTGTTTATTTCAGGGGCAGGAAGTGATAAGAGGTAGGGAGGTGGTAGAAACCTAACCTCCTCACCTATCAGCCTTTACTTTGCCCGGGGATTCTTATCAATACTGAACATCCCAATAATTCATCTATTTAACCCTTTAAGGTTGTTAATTTCAGGGGGAGGAAGTGATCGGAGGTGGTGGAAGAGTGAGCAGGAGGAATCGAGCGCCTCGCATATCAGGGTCTTCCCCGCGGCCTCTGATAAGCCTCTGGTCGCCTCCAAGTGGAGCGGCCGGCCAACGCGATCAGCTGATTGGCCGTACCCGGCTCCGCCGGCACGTGATGAGAGTAATTAGCTTGCTCGAGGGATAGAAGAAACTGGGGCGTTAGCGTTGCAGACGAGGATTAAGAAGCCTTAT